CCTACACTGAGTAACCTTATTTTTGGAACAGAAATAAAATTTGGCCCGTAAGTACCAAATAGGCTTAGCAAAAGATTTTCTACAAAATAGCATTGTAGTCATGCTTTGAGCAATCTTATAAACACTAGTGAAGATTTTCAAAGTAGTTTAAGGGATTTATATTTGCATTTTACAATAAATAAAATACCCATGATCAGTTCCAGGAAGTGGCTTTGATAATTTTTAATTCTATCCTGAATTTCATTTTGACATTGTATTTCATGGGTAGTTGTATAAGAGACCACATGAGAAACATTTAGTTCACAAAACCTTTTCAGCAAGGTCATTTACTTTGACTCTTGGCTAGGTTGGTTAGAGATTGATTTACTTATATTGGAAAATGGATTCGGATGTTATGCTTCCATAAAGGGATATTGCTCCTGAAAATATTTTTACTTTGCTGCTCTGTTTATAAAACGTAGCAAGGACCACCATATCTTGCCTGTTATCAGTTCACCATTGTTGTATTGAAGAGTATCAGATAGATATGTATCATAGAAGAAATCAGCTGTACCATTTATATAGGGTAAAGTCATGCAAACCATGCTCAAAACTAAGCTTCTTAGTTTTGGTAGCATGAAAAAAACTGCATTAGTAAATTGTATGAAATGGTGCAGAATGACTACCACTAATATCACATGCATCTTATGCAGCCATTGGTGTTTTGAACTAGTAAGCTTTGGGTGTAGAGTAAGTGAGATATACAAAGTATGCTTACATTACATGGAGAAGTCAACCAGTGACTGCCCCCACACGCATTTTTAAACTGGCTTATTTGAAGGGGTCCATATTGAATCTGAAATCCCATCTCCTGTAGAAGACAAAGGCATGGAGCCACTTGGTGTAAAAGGGTCGGTGTCTGTGTCTGTTTCCCCCTCTGCTAGGTAGCGTTTCTCTCTCATCCATGCTGATCCACCGTTGGGGCCAAACGGGAAGTCATCTCTGTCTTGGGAGATACTGAAGCCACTTGGGGAGCGCTCAAGTTCCTCATGGTTGACGGAGAGAAGGGACAATGGAGTATCGCTGTCTCTTGTTAAGCTCCTTCTCTGCCTTGGAGACACCTTATCTGAGTAAGGGCTTTGCAGGTCTCCTTGAGAGTGGTAGCTAACTTGGGAGTCTATTAATGTAAATATAGGCAAAACTGTTGGCCTTTCTGCATATGAAGTTGAGGAAGGTGTGGCCTGCAGTTTGCCAGAGTTTTGCCCACCTATTGATAAAGGTTGTGAATGAGTCATGTGACCATGTTCTGAGAAACCATAAGGACTGACTTTATTGACTGGAACCTGCTGGAAGTTGTAAGGAGTTTCATGAGCACACTGCTCAGTGTATTTATATATTATTGTTTTTAATTCAGAGTATTTGTTTTCTTCTCTCTTCTCCTTTGCAGGAGAAGCAGTTTCTTTCAAGGGACTTATCTCAGCGACTTGTATTTGCAGCTGTTCCATATGATGCATATGCATATCAACAAGAAAATCCAGTTTCTTCCCCATGTCATTAACCTGTAAAATACCAATGTTATGATATTGTCTCAAGTCAGTTGTTTAACAAAAGCACCAATGCTTCCATACGTGCACTGCACCAGCAATAGTGTGCTGCCGTCTTCATTGGCCATGAAGATAATTATAGAATAATCATGACTTTGCCTTGGAGGCTGGACTGCAGTGGATGCCAGCTTATCCTCTAACTGGCTCAGATTAAGAAGATCTGTCCCAATGAACTGTGTGCCAAAAAAATTCTTAGCATTGCTGGATTTTTGGCAGTCCAGCATCCAACAGCAGTCTACAATGTTATGACCAAAGTCTTAATACCATATGGTAAATAGCTATTAGCAAAATACAACAGATGGAATTACCTTTGCACACAGACCTATTCTCTAACTCGTAATAGTCCTACAACATCAGGATTAAATAACAGGACTAATTTCCTTTCTCTTTTGATAGTACTTTGTACCTGAACATCTACATTCCATGAAAGGAATTGATGTGAATCAATGTCACTTGCCTCCGCCTTAGTTATGTATTTAAGAATAAGAGTGTTTTGACTTGCTAAACAATAGGTTAGGATGCATAAAGAGGGGCCAAAAATACCTGTGGAGGCAATAATTTTGGGTGCCATACCCTGCAAAAGAAGGTGGTGCTCCTAACAAAACGCCAGACATGATAAGTATGGAGTGTACGGGAATGAAAAAGTCCCATGTAAACATCACGGTTAGGTTCTTGCTGCTATATATAATTATTTTCATTCAACAGGTTTCAAAATGCAAACTTCCCAGTTAATTAAATTATTTCACAAAAGAACTAACATAGTTTTGTGATCTTTAGTACAAGATCTGTCTGAGTCTTGATCACCAAGAGTACAAATCTGCCTGGGTCAGCCAAAGACTCATACAGAATTTTTGTCAGCTTTATCATTTCTGTACAAGCGCCTCAGCCTCCGTCAGTGTCATGAAATTACATACCTGTCGTTCAACTTTAACAAATTTGCCCATCATACTTTGGTCTTCAGTATCTGCTGTAGATGCTTTGGCTACATATGGATCATTTCTATGAAGAATTAATAACTCTATTAGTGTTCAATTTTTCTTTGCATCACAGTAAGTAATTCATATCAGAAAACAGAATTATCATCTTTGTGGTATATTCATATAGCTCCTTGGAGCCCCATTTAAGAAAAGATTGAATTTAATTATTTACCATACAAACAGGAGCAAAAGTCTACTCTATGTAATTCCAATGTATTTCTAAAAAATGTATTCCTGATTTTTAATTTAAAATTATTTTGATTCAAAATTTAGATAAAGATTAAGAAAAAAAAAAGGAAACAGAGTTCAAAATGAAAGTGACATTAATCTCAGACTTGGTGGAATAATTTCAGGTTTGTTATAAATGTTGAGACAGTCTAGATAGTGGGTCTACAGATGGCCATGTGTTTTTAAATCTAATTCTTTATAATCAGTGTCTTTGAAGACTGAATCTGAGTTTCAAGGCTGAGTGGTTTTTTTTTTTTCAATTACATTAAACCAAATAGTAAGTGACAGAGACCAGAAATGCTGAAAAGAGACAGTCTGGCCTGGAGATTTAAAGTAGATTCCAGAATAAATTTTCTTCTATGTACTTTCCTAATGCCCAACCATTGATGGACTAATTTCAGGAGGTAAGAAGATGATCTCTGCTTAACTAAAGAACTTTGATTTATAACTTCATGGGATCTACGATGGTCACTATCAAGTTAAATCTTTATCAAAAGGTTTCCAAACCAACCTCACAGGAATCTATGTCTTTCCATAGCCTATGTCAAAGTCTAGAGAAACAATTTCTAAGCACTTGTTCTTTAACATGACTTAGAACAAATATATCCTAAAACTTTTGTTTTAACAGGTCCAGTTCTTCTCTTTCTGACAAAATTAAAAATATAGCTGTGAATATATCTTTCTAAAGCAGAAACTATAACCAAAACATGTCAGATTTTGCACATTGGGTTACTGATGATATGGGCTCATTCAAATTTTGCAATCTGCTTTGTTTCCCAAATGATCATTGTCTCTTCCATACATGTAGGTCTCTGTCTTCACATTTACATTTTTTTAGATTTTTCACTGGGTGAGATAAACCAGATAGAGCCAAGTTAATTTATTTTTTGTAAGATTACTTTTGTTCTGCGCAACCATAACAGCTTTGGGGACAGATTGTTGATGGTGTTGTGTGGTTCTTCATGGGTATTTATTGACAGATTGATAGTTGTAAATAACAGAAGAAATGTCATTTATTATTGAATTCTTGCTACCAGGAATGCAGCAATACAGTAACATGCTGTAATTTTCACACCCAGAAACCTAGTATTGCAATTTATTTTCAGTAATTCTCACCATTCATTGAGTTAAATGCAGCAGCATTAAAACTCTGTGCTTGCCATTTGGTGGGAGCTATAATGAAACATTTTTCTCTTCAGGAAGATAACTGGTTTACCTTCAAACTATTGGCGATTTTTATTGAGTTTTTAAGTGGGTTTACTACTTGAATGTTAGAAATTCAGCACATCATCAATCAAATATACATATTTCATATAAAATCACATTTCCAAACTGTGGAGAAGCCAAGCTAGGCAATTAAGAAGCCATTAATTTTCAATTTTGATTGTTCTTAGTGAAGCTAGTGTCTTTCTGGCTCAACATTTACACATATATGTCTTGTAGCAACATATCCTCTCAGTATCATTACTATAACAGTGTACTGGCTGGATGAATGAAGGTCACGCTTATTGGTATGAATGACCTTTGTATTTCTGTTTTGATCTGTGCAAAATACTAGGCATAAAAAATTCACCTGGGAGACTGTTGTGAAGGGTAAGAAAAAGCTCCTCCCTTTTGGGATTTCTTATGCTTGGGAGTAGATGGAGGTCCAGGTGTAAAAATCATATCTACTCTGAAAAAAAGAAAAGTGCAACTGTGTAAGTCCATCTCTAAATGCTAACACATGATAGAAAATACTATGCATCTCTGCAGTAAACAGTAGCAAAGATTCAAAAAGGAAGCACGTTTTGATTTGGTCATATATTGAAGGTCATGACGTGTTTGTTCTGTTCTGGGTCCACAATCAATATATTGAATTGTAATTACCTGGTAATTTCATGGTAATTAAGTGATTATCTAGCTCACTGTTTCCAAACTTTGACATTTGAAACACATTACTTCATTTCCTTCAAAGGAACTAAATAGCGTCATTGTCAAAAAAAACTCCAATAACAGCTGCTCTTTAAAATGTCAGGAGAGATGCATCAGGTTTTGTGCTGGATTGTGAAAATAAGAATTTGGTGAAAGGTGGCAATTGCCAATGCTCTTAATAAATCAATGACTTTCCAGCAGTTATTGTGCCTAATTATCAAGGGTTTTTTTTTGTCTTTACTAATTATTCTTTTGGTTTGAAAAAAACCCCACCTATAAATGAAGTTTCACAAAGAATCCCACTTGACTTTTTATTTGGAACAAACCCAAAAGGATTGTTTGGGAGGCTCCATTTAATTACACTCTTTTACTAGATCAATATATTCGTTCATTTGGCATATCCAACTGCTCAGGTGCAAGCAAGTCTCTGTTCATTTGGCCCACATACCAAACTGACCAGATGTCAGTCAGTACTAGTCCACAGACCAGTTATCTGTATCATCAGACAATCCATGCAGGTACGTTGTACGGCTTCATGGTACCCCATGGAGTTTTGAAAATGGAACTTAAAAAAAGCTCAAGGCAAACCTCAGAAAGCTAGCTAGATATTTGCTAGGCACCCAAGCATTGCTCGGCCATCAGTCAATGTCTCAGCAAACTTCTATGGCATCTTGCTATTTGTAGACACAATGAGTAGGACTGACCTCCCTGGTTTTGTCCAACTACGACCAGTGGAGCTCTAGTTAGCACAGTGAAGAAAATTTGGGGGAGAGTAAGGGAGATTCAGCTGATCAAATGAAGGCACCTGGTTTAAGCAGGGATTAATTGTGCTGTAAAGGCCATTAATTATGTTGACTAGCTATCTGTTAACTGTAAGAGGAACCTCACATCATGGCTTGCCAGGATTATGCTTTTTCTTCAAAGATCTCTAAAAAGGTCTTCCCTGTATATGTACAAAATGACTGCTGAAATTTTGTGGCTCTTTTGCTACTGGTGATTCTTTATAGTGGGGCATAGCATTGCCGAGAGGTTGAGGCTGTGCTGTGATTCTTGCCCTGAGTCATCCCCCAAAGCTGTGCCACAACTGCTGCGTGAGATGGGTCTAATCATGTCAGGCACCTTTACTGCTGCTACGACTCAAGCGAGTATGTGAGAGGTCCTCTACTGTCCAAAAATCACACAACACCTCAGTCCGAGGCAAAGGAAGAATCTCCAGTGTAAGGCATGTAGACCCTAGTGCAGATTTCTAATCATGAACCCTCCTCAACTTCCAGAGTTCAAAAAGATATTTCTGCATTGAAATCTAAGCTCATGTGACGCAGAGCTCATTTTATAGGGTAACAATGGTGTTTTGTGGTATGTAATTAAAGAAAGCAGCTTTTCTAGAGCAATAATAGTGAGGTAGGAACCAGACATGTTATATACTTGAAAATGAGATAGCCCAGTACATGGAAAAGCACTTTGAAATAAGAAATTATGAAGTTCAAAAGAAGGATCAGAGCAGTGTTATAAAGCCAAGGTAATTCTAGGTGAGGTCCAAATGTGCAGCAAGAGTTGTACTCACTCAGCCTACTCTTGAGAGAAATAAAGGGTATGTCTGTGTGGCATTTTGCTGTTAAGAGTGACTGGGGGGGTGTGAGGAAATGTGGACAGTGCTGTGCTGAGACTGAACTAATACAGCTACATTCGTATGAACACATGTGCACTCAAACCCAGTCAAACTTACTAGTTCAAGCTCTGACCTGCACCCATGGCTCAGGATGCAAGCAGCACAGATTTTTGTAGATATACCTCAAAAGCACATCGCGATGAACCACTTCTGTGATGAAACAACTGTGAGAGCAGATTGCACCTGAACACTCAGAAAGGCCTGAAATTCCATTTTTTTTCATACAGGTCAATTTACACCTGAGTGAAGGGTATGTAAAACCTTCTGTGCTGACGTATTTTTGTGCTTGTATGAGATGTTTCACCAGGTACATGTCAGCAGAGAACCCAGATCAAAGAAAAGCTCATGTAGAGCAACTATTGCTTTTATTTATCTTCTGTAAAATGGGGAGAAGGGGAGAAACTTGACCCGAATCAAATAAGGCAATGGTCAAGAGGATTCACAGGATTCTTTACTCTGATTTCCTTGTTCTAAATATGAGCTGGTGGTCTCTTCTGCTGCAGTTACTCCCGCTAGCTGCTCACTTGCCTTTATTCTTTTGGGAAAAGGCTTTCTTATTGACCAGTTATGCTATGCAAAGACATAGCTTCTGGGTGGTCTTGTACGCAAATAGGCCAACTATGCTTCTATTTTGCCAGCACAGCTATACATTTTCCCCATTTATCAGACGATTCTTACCTTGCCTGAAGATATTTTATTCTGGAAAGCATATCAAGATGCCCTGCTGAGTATTGCTCTATCACATCCTTTACATCATAAGGCCTCAAAGTCTCCTTGAATTTTTTTTTATAGAGACGAAACTGTAGTATTCTGCATAATAAACAGAAAAATTATTAACTTCTTATATAAATCCCATAATGGTAATTTGCAGTTTTATCAGATAATTGATAAATACTCTGGATGTTTGGAAATTGAGCATGTTATTTTGAAATAAGGCAATAAAACACAAGCAGAGAATCTCTAATATCGTACCACAATTGTGTATATATATATAT